GTCAAGCCATCTCGTGGCTTGCTATGCTGGACACGATTCTCGCTACACATAGAGATGTGCTTGTTGCCATTAGCTACTAGGCAAGCTCTTTATGCTTTCCTTACAGCATAAAAGTTCTATACTCCCTTCTATCCAACCTTTCATTCTAAATAGTCGGTTTAGATGGCCCCAATCACAATGTCACCTTCTATACTACTTTATTTTTAATTTTTTTATACAAAATATTTTGACACCAAAATTTAGGCGTTCAATCCTCTTTTGAACTAGCACCGATAAAATATATATATATAAAAAATTCCCAATAAAATAAAATTACTAAAATATTAGTTTTAAGGGTATTTTGATCATTATATTTTATCAAATATTTTTTTAATATTTTATTGAAGTGTCCCCCCGTTGAGATGATGGCATGTACCAAATTTCATATCCATATAGTTAGTAGAAAAAAATTAAAAATAAAATATTTTGATGTGTCGGATCTAGATTAAATGGTTAGCGGCTTACTTGATCTAAGTTGGATGGCTCGATGAAGGAAGACGTATATATATTTTATGTCGTAGGAAAAGCATACAAACCTTTTCCATATCTACCACTTATTATGCCAGCAATGTGAGAAAAGGGGTCACGTATCGATACCCCATTTTACAATTGCTGCGAGGGTCCTGCATTTTGGATGCACGGGGTCTTGTACACTTTGATTGACACCCTTTTCGTTCAATGGCTCCTCATGGCATTATTGAAACCAGGTCAACGACTTTGGAGGTTTTCAATACGAGCTGCCATTCATGTAATGGGTTGTCATAAAAGTAATGGGTTGTCCAGGGATATTTCCACAATCATGGACTTTCCATGGGTAAGCTCAAAGATGCAATCATCTGTTGAGCTAAGTCAACGAATGAGTTTCATAATTTTTTTAAGGTTGTCGGTGGGAATGAGCAAGTCAAAGAAAAAGTTTCATGGTTTTTTTAAGGTTTTCAGTGGGAATGTACGCTACAATGTGCAATTGAGATACAAGGGTACTATTGACACGACCTAAACTCTTTTTTTAAGTTTTGTGGTTGTAGTTATGTATATTTTGAATCTCAATACGAAGAAATCATCCTCACTTAGAAATGGGCTCTAAGTGATCATGTTGGTGAGTGCTACGACATTGTATTTTGGGTTCCATTCCTATTACATATACGGAACCCCTTCTCCATTAAAATACCCAATAGAAAAGAAGGAAAATTACCCTCACTTACCTATTAAAAAAGGAAGACCAAATAGGTGGAATCTCCGCGGTAATTGCACTGGAACTCAATTTTAATGAGATTACAAAAGTTCTTTTTTGGGACCAATTGTAGAATACAAGTATTTGAATTTTTGAGAGAGAAAATATCTCAAACATTTTAAGGAAAAAAACTATATCACATTTGTTTTAAGAAAAAAAGTATTTCAAATTTTAAGCTTTAGAGCAAAAAAATATTTGAATATGCTCTTAAGAGTGCGGATCCTCATAGACATGGGGATACGTGAGTTAGTTTGCTACTAGAATTCTGGCGATACGTGATCGAGTAGGGAACAGGTTAGAAGTCAATTCCCTCACAATTTACGAACGTTTAATTAAATCCGGATGGCACCTTGTAGCTTTATCTATAGCACGTATCAGTGTTCACGAAGTCGGATGAGTAGTTTCTACTCAGCCGAGTTGTTCAGGCTCCGGTACTCGTCGAGCCTGAGTTGTCAGAGTATCCTATTAGGGGGAAATTAAAAAACTTTAAAAAATTATAAGTAATTTTAAAAAAATAAGAAAATTATTTGGGATTCTTTTTTTTTTTTTTTAATGTTTTCTGTCATTTTAGAAAAGAAGTGTTTTGGCTATAGATACTTATTTTTAAATTTTCCCGTCTTTTTTGGATTATTTCAAAAAGACTTTCAGTCATAACTTGATTTTTTAAAATCTATTTTTTTACTACTTTTTTAAGTTCATTTCGATGCGTTTTCCTTGAAAAAAAATATACAATGAGACCATTTATCTTCGGTACAAGGTAGTCACAATTAATCTTGACCTTTGGATATGAAATTAGGCGGTTGGATTTATTCCAATGACCAAGCACAAAGTACAAAAAGAATTTTCTCGAACTTTGTAACACACTCTGACTATCAAATTTTACATAAAATGATCTTTGTATAATAGGTAAATGGTCTCATTGTATATTTTTTTTTTTTGCTTAAACTTACTTCAAACATACATTGCCTTCTTTTTTTTAGATTTATTTGGTATTTTTTTGTAATTTTTACTGTTTTTTGTTGCTACGCCACTACTCGAGCTGGGTCTTGGTCTGAATATGCCGATTGGACATGGGCCGAGAGTGCTCGGCCCGGGGAGTGGTTTCCCCACACTGGTAACCAATGCACAAGCCAATGTCGCGACCAGGAACAGTGTTGCCAAACCCACAGTGACTGTTCGTGAAATTTTGATTTTTTCCAAAGTCTGCTGCAAATAGACAGAGATTTGTCCATCTTTTTCTTTCCTTTTTTTTTTAAGAAAGTAAAATTAACTGTTAGAAATACAACAATAATGTATATAATATGATCCCTCAGGAGCATACTATAGATTTACTCCCTTGGACAAAACACCCTATTAGGGTTTTTTATTTTTTTTAAGTTTGAAATTTCAGGATCCATCTAATTATACCTAGATTATTTTAAAAAAATAAATAGGATTTTGAGTTCTTAAATATCTAGATCATGCCATTCAATGATTGGATGATCCCAATGCAATTTTGGAATGTCCTTTTTTTAAGGCATATGGAGAGTGGAAGTGTTTTTTTTTTTGAAAGATTGGTTGTCGGGTTTTAGAGATCAACTCATTAAAATTTCAGATCTAAAAGATAATCCGCACGGAAGTTTTGCCCAAGGGAGTAGATGGATAGTATACTCCCTCGAAAGTAGTAAGCGCAAAACAAATGATTATATACTTCATTAGCTGTCATTCATGTTTCTCGCCCACTATATGAGAGGCCTAAAAAATAATGATAGACGAGGAAGATGTAGTTGACTAGGAGGCAACCAACTCATTCCAAGATATTGAAACTCTCTCTCTATTTTTAAAAGAATCGGGATGGTGGATTGAATCGCGCACCCATTTATTCTAAGCTCGCTTAAAACTTATCCGAGTCGATTCGTAGATTGTCTTGGACGTTTTGTATTGAAATATAAAGAAATTGTGAAAAATTGGTGGAAATAAGGAATAACCAAATATTGTCATAGGGTCTTATTTGGTTTGGTGAGAAAAATGAAGTAATTCGATGTTTCGGCCGATTCAGGTGAGGATTTCAGTTGTTTTAAAAAATATATATATAAATATATTAAATATTTATGTATTAAATATATAAAAACAATAAAAAATTATAAATAAAATTTTTAAAGAAAATAAAAAATACTTTTATAGAGATATTTCTTTGCTTGGGCCGAAGCTTCAGCCGAATCTACCTGAAGTAGACCCGAATTTGACCAAAGCCGCCGGAATTTGACTGCAGCAGCAACACCAATATATAAAAATAATGAAAAATAAAAAACAAGATTTTCAAAAAAAAAAAAAAACTTTTATATAGATATTTATTTGCTTATGCAGAAAAGGCCGAAGCTTCGGGTGAATTTATACGAATCTGACCGAAGCGGCAACACCAGGCTTCACTTCAGTCTAAGCCTAAAATCCAAAGGCTTCGGCCTTTGCAGCCGAAGCGCATTTAATTTGACAACAATGGGATAATCTAAGGTCTCTTAACCCATAAAAGTACCCCGACCTAACTCGACAATAGGGATGGTAAAAAGCCTAGGCTTGGGCCAAGGCCTGGGCCCGGCCTTGACCAAGCCAAGAAGGTCCTGCCCCAAGCCCAGTCCTAGCCTTATGAGGACTAAGCCGGGCCAAATAAAATTGAGAATAAAATAAAAGAAAAAATCTTGTATATTCTGTTGCTTATTATATATTTTGTTGCTTAGACACTAGATTTTTAGGATCGAGCCTGACCGGGCCACTTGGTACATTATCACCCTTACTCGACAATTTTGAAATATGCAATTGTCCTTCCAAACAAGGAAAAAAAATCTTACACAGGTGATGTCTTGAGATAAAATGAATATGAGATTGTATAAAAATAAAACCATTTAACTTTGATACGAGATAAAATGAATATGAGATTGTATAAAAATAAAACCATTTAACTTTGATACAAAATAGCCATCCTATGTGAATTATTATTGCGGTAGATATGGAATATTAGGAAGATGGGTGAGTAATTGTGATGACTCATCAAGAGTAAACCTGAAACAATTGCAAACGGGGCAAAACGGAAAAGAGCACCGACAACGAGATAACGCCTTGGTGCGATGCCAACCCACGTACAAAAAATTTGGGCCAACGCTTTCTTAAGCCACTAATAAAATGTTAAAAAATGATGGAAATTTTATTAAATTATTTATGAGAGATGAACAATTTGCATATATCTTTTACTTTAATTTCAAAACATCTATATAAAAATACATGGCCATCAATTGAAATAGTTTTAAAATGAATAAACTACTGAATTTGTAATTTCCAAAAAGAATTTTAATAAATATTCTATATATACTACATTTTTTTTAAGGAGATATAGAGCACCTTTTACTTCCAATGAAAATAAGAAGTTCTCTCTATTTTCTCACTCCTTTTTTTGTCTTTTAAAAGGTTCACTTTTCGCTTATCAGCATTCTGATTTCTAATATAAAAAATAACATAAAGGAAATTTATCAAATTACTCATGAGACGTAAACTATTTAACATTTTACACATATTGTTTGACCGAATTTCAAAATACCCATTATAAAACACTCCTGATCATGAGTTGAAATAATTGCACATTTATAAACAATTGAATAATACATCTCTCATAAATATTTTGATTCCCTAAAATAAAAATAAAAACCCTCTCTCTTCCCACACCAAAGCTATAGAGAAATAAGTGCACTTTAATCCATAAGAAGGCTATTTAAGGGTCTGTTTGTGAGCACATGTTGTCACCAATAATTTACTGTTTTCATAAAGGTAAAGACTGAAATGAAGAGTGATCTCTCTCTCTCTCTCTAACCCAACACGTGATCACCACAATCTCAGTGATCCACCCTGTCCTCTTTCTCTCTCTAGGATGCACACCATGTCGTGCCTGTTCATGCCCCATTAATGGAATCTCTCTTCATGGGTTTCTCGTCGTCTTCAATACTGGACCAACCCCCTCTGATATATCATCTCTTCTCTCGTCTTTTCCTTGTCACTGGGCCAGCTGTTTCAAAGGCCATGGAATCCATCAAAAAATAAAGAAATGGCGGCCTCAAGCTGCCATTCTAGGGTTTTCTTGGTCCTGAGGAGCGATGGTGTCCACGAACTTCTATTTAGGGTTTACTGTCCTGAGAATTGACCTGAATAAGAGATGGTGACTCTCTCGATGTTTTTTCTGATTCTGGGAATTGATCCGGTTAGGAATGGTGTTGTTGAGCTCCCGTTCTAGTGTTTACCGGTTCATAGAATTAACCGACAATGTCGCTTTGAGCTTCCATTCTAGGGTTTGATTGTACTGAGAATTGACGCAGAAAATAATGGTGTTCTCAAGCTTCCATTCTAGGGTTTTCTGGTTCTGAGCTTGTGGTTTGGTGAGTATGGGGGTCTTGGGTGAGGCCTGGTGCTTTTGTTCAGGAGGAGGAAGGTCCGAAAAAATAAAAGGGACCATTTTGGGCAGCAAAGGTCCAGCCATGGCTAGGGTTTGTGGAAAAACTGGTTTCCTCATTAACAGAGCTCTACTTCTCACTACTCATGCTAATCTTCCTTCACCTGCTTCAGCTCAAGGGGTGGAGATCCAGCTCCATTGCCGGAGGACTGCGAAGCTTGTTCCTCAAAGGTGCGCTCTGGTTTTGAAACCCTAGTTTTGGCCGTAAATCAATTCGATGTAACTGATTTACTAAATCCTGGCTTCTACAATTAAACATCAGTTGGTCTTCTTCTATTTAACCCTAGAATCTGTAATTGAAGGTTTAGATTCTGTAATTATAGCCTGGCTCATGCATTATCCGATAGGATGCACTCATCTTCTTTCAATTTTTTTTTTTTTGAGAAAATTGGTTGGAATGATAATTTGATTTAGAAAATAGAGGAAAGCATGGGGATCTCTGAAAGTGACTTTTACCACATCATGGGTTATAACAGTGACTTTTATCTTCACTTGCTTTTCAGTTTTTTTTCTTTTTCCTCTGTCTTTTGCTTTGTTGTGTCTTATCTTTTGCCCTTTCCCTTTGATCAACAGTGTGGAATTACAAGAATTCTGGATCTGAGTAGGATGTTTTATCTTGGGAAATTACCTTTATGGATTGGTATTTATGAAAACATAGAAAGAAACTCACTACCAAAAAAATAAAACAATAATAATAATAATAATTTTGAAAGACAATGACTCTCTCTCTCTCTCTCTC